AAAATCATTACTGTGTTTTGTATTTATTTTGAATTCACTAGTCAATATAGAGATAAGACTGCCTACCTCCCACTGTGAAGACAATCAGGGGTCGCTAATATAGGTCATTTGAAGCATATTTCTCATTTCTCAATTTGTCATTTCATTGTTATTGTGTAAGAAGAACATCCCATAAAACCACTTATTAGTTTCTCATATCAGTATATTTTGATTTTGTATCATTCGACGATTAGGATGGTTGTTTACCTGTGTCATCACTTAGAATGTGAAACGTAATATCTGACGTCTGACCACGTATGACACGGAACACAAAACTTACTTGAGTTCTTTGCGCACTGTCAATCACAAACAAACCAGTGTTGCCGCGCTTATTAATTTTCCGTGGGGACCCAAATCTCGGGGTTGCCAAGCCAGAAGTTTCGGTAGAACTAAGTATAAGTATATGGATATGATAAATTAAATCTTCTATGATTAAACCTAGTGATCTGAATTGAGCCTTGCTTATTTCCACACCCTCTCTCCCTGAGCCCTGGGAATAATATTTTCTCAAACTTTTATCTAAGATATCTCGTACGCTTGATCTTTTCTAATGTCACATATGGATAAATAGCAACCAGGGAAAAGACAAGGTAACAAGCAGTGAAACGAACACAGTTTAGGCCAGGCCTCAAACTGAAGTCCAAATTTCTGGGTCCGTACAAGATTGTTCGAGTAAAATCGAAAGACACCTATGATGTCGAGAAGGAGGGAGTCAGGACAGATGACATATCATCCGAGGCGGATGATGAGCAGGAAGGCCGAGATGTGGGATCGCAGGGTACCACCCTGTGAAGCACCGACCCCAAGACCAACCCTCAGCAACAAGTGCTCGTGTGGATACCTCCCGGGGCGAGACACACTTTTTTTACGACGGTGGTAGAGCAAAGACGATTAAGACGAACGACGGGCTCAAAGACGTTTACTACCTTTTTAGTTTGTTATTACTCATCATTATTCAGTTCATTTGTAGTTCTCCAGTAATATAGTCACTAATAATAATCGACACTCTTTCCTATCAACTAGTATCCCACATATCCGTGTACAGGGTGGGCAAAAATGGGCGTTTTCATAGGCTATCTCAGTAACTGAAGGAGTTATCAAAAAATCGATATATATATTACGGGTTCGATTTCAGATAAACCTCGAATGGTACAATTGGAATTTCCATTCATTCTATAGATACAGGGGGGAATTGAAAAATTGTCGATATCGTTTTTATTTTCTGAGTACTTTATGCAAAGAGATATTGAGAAATTTCAGAATTTTATCGATATATAATGATGCGTAGAATCCATTGGCATCATCAGAAATGTTATTCAGCGTGACATCTAAAAGATACGGCAGTCAATTTTTTTCTAATGGAACACCCCGTATATTTCAGCACAGTTGGATAGTCCTAGGCATTCCATATTCAAATATATATCAACCTACCTTTTTCTTCGACAACTTCAGGAATATTCGCGGAAATATACTCAATGTGTCACATTTCTCATGGCTGCCCCTCTTTATCTTCCGTAATAATCATTGAGGTAGGATTCCGACATTCGCAGCTGTGAGAGAGATGCCAATGATACACTCGAGGATCAAGTGGGATCATCCCCAGTGATATCACTGCTCGCCAGCAACTATGGAATCACCGACATCTCTGGAAAATGCTATATTGAGGCAGAATATAGGTTTTCCACAATTCAATTCGAGGTGTTGTTCCTTATCATTATTCCAATTAATATGTAAATTTAGTGAAATTTAGTTATCTCAGTATTATCAATAGGCATCATTTGATTTATTTTTGGTAGATACAAATATTTATATTATTATTATTTCTAATGGGGGACTGGAAGATCAGCCTAGCTGAAGTCCACTCATATTTGCCCTATTGATGTTAATTGAATTTCAACATGTATTTTTTTTAACATGTAATTTTTTCATGTCTCATCTGGGTGAATAAATACAAATACAATACATAAAATACAGGTGTCCCTAAAATCGAAACCGTAACATGTATATCGATTTTTTGATAATTCCTTCAGTTACAGAGATAGCCTATAAAAACGCCAAATTTTTCCACCCTGTACATGCTCTAACAGAATTGGATATATATTTCGAGGAATTGAAATTCTAGATATTCCAGAATGTCCCAAAATTGCTGGGAGACAGAGCTACCATGTGTTATGAAGGTCGAAATATAAGTTAATTAGACCCATTTTCCTCATACACCAAAATGTACAGTTTGTTCGTGAGAAGAGTTTTTTTTTCTGCAATTGCATACCTCGTTGGTCCCAGCACTGGGACCAAACGCCCCATAAGTCGAAACTTGTGCGGGGTTAGGTATACATACAGAAATCCAGGTGCATTCAGACTTTTCTCGTCGATTTGACCTTTGTATCGATTAAGGCGGCCGTCATATTGAACATTCATCATGAAAACCGTTCTGCCTTTGTTTCCACTGTCAACTTAATTTTGTATCGCAATGTTTGTGAACTTGTACTGAAAATATTTGATAGCATTTGATGAAATAATACATTATTTTCCTTCGGTGATATGGATATGGACAAAAATTCAACATGTGGATCAAAATAGAGATGATCAATCTGTCTCCCCGTTGAGAGAATCTGAGAACCGTATTACCCTCAAGAATGTTCGTGAAAAAATTTCAGAGAGTCAGGGTAGTTTCAATTCTTCTACAATTTCTTGTAGTTTTCTTCGATCACCGAAAGTAGAGTTCTCCTCTAGAATGCACTCCTCTCAAATAACGTTGAATTTGCTTCACTCATTTCTGAACAGCGAACAGAATTGTGCTTTTGAACTCTTTCCACGCACAAACTGTACAATTTGATAAATAAAAGAAATGGGTCCACTCAATTTATTTTGACCTCCTTCACACGTCGTCGCTTTAAAACTTGGACAACCTGTATATGATCATGATAATTCTGACATTGAAATACATTTTATCGAAGATATTATTATGCAATGTTATATTTGAAGACGAAATATGAATAACATATCTCCTTTATGAACACCGTCGTGATACGCAACTGCTATTTCTTGATGCATAAAAAGTTGGAGGCGCTTCAAAAACAATGATTCATACCACGTAGTGTGCACAAAAATCGGCTAGAGCTGTAACTTCTAAATCATTCGAGATCGAGAATTGAAATTTGGTGGGTAGCAACTATACCATATTGTTCATTTAATGACGAAAAAGAAATTTTTCCATCACTTCCGGTCTAACCAGAAGTGACCCCAACTTTTGATTTTCAAATGGAACCCCCTGTATATTTTTCCATTTCTGGATCATTTTATATACACCATTAGTTTTTCCGGATCACTTTGTGAGGAACAGAAAGAACAACAAAATTAACTCCACATTAATCTTTATTATTTTCAGTGGTATAGAAAGAGGGGCGATAAAAAATTAAGTACAACAAATGCTCAAATTGCTCCCAATTTTGTGCAATGCATTGCTGACACCTTCTGACTACACTAAGAGTTGCGTTGTGTACAAATACTTGGGGTATATTGCGGCAAGCCTCTAATATTCGATGCCTACGATTTCTATGTTCTCTGGCTGAAATAGATTAACTTGATCCTTCAAGTAACCCCAAAGAAAGAAATCCATGACTAACAAATCTGGACTGCGAGCTGGCCACCGTATCGGTCTATTTGCTCCTATCCACCTTTCTCCAAAGTGTGTATTCAAATATTTCAAATAAGTCACATTCAAACGCGTATTGTGTGGCGGTGCTCCATCTTGTTGGAAAATGACTTCATAACGATTGGCGAGGGGAAGTTGGTCCAGAAAATTTTCAATATAACCAGTAAGCAATTCAAAATACTTATACTGGTCTAAAAAACCGTCGATGAAAAACGGGCCTACCAACATATCATCAAGAAGTCCGATCGATTCACGAAATTTCCCTAGAATCTCTTAGTCTTGAAATTCTAGGTTTATCTCCATACATTCAACCTAATTCTTGTTTGGAAGTTGGTTACTACATTACAATGGGGATTTTCTATTGACCAACATCTGTGATCCCGTCTATTCAAGATGCCATTTCGCCCACATTATTTTTCTATAAAATGCAGGATTTTGATTGAACCTATTCAAAAAAATATTGCAGAAATGTGTCCTATACGTTCTCTGTCATTATCGTGCTCCAAGGCGTGGATTTCGCGGAAAACGTATGGCGTGTACTTATGTTTTTTCAAAATAGAAAGAACTGTTCTTCGTGACGTAACAAAATCCATTGCATTCTTAATTTTACATGTCATGGGCGTTTCTTGTACACTGAGTAAAACATTCAAATCCAAATCTGCATCGAACTCTCGCTGTTGTTTCTTTGGTTTTTTGAAACTACCAAATTGACGTAGATTAGATTCCAATCTGCCAAATTTCTGATAGCTAGGATGATTTCTATTCTGATATCTGTTCCTATTTCCACGAGCAGCATCGTACGAATTTTTCAAACATTCAAAATAAACTTGTAACATATCGGTTAACTCATTATTATGCATGTTTATAAAATAGAAAATATCATCACCCGTATTGAAACTCATTATTGGATAATAGTCACATTAAGTTGACTTACAAGGCTACCTAGATCTTGATCACTTTTACCAATTAATGGGCAATGTTCAAAGATACGAATTAAAAAAATTCCTCTTGCCATTCTGATCTGGAAAAACTACTGGTGTATGTAAAATGATACCCTGAATCCAATAATGGGAAAATATACAGGGGGTTCCATTCGAAAATCAAAAGTTAGGGTCACTTCCAGTTAGACCGGAAGTGATGGAATAGTTTTTTCTTCGTCAATTAATGAATAATATGATATAGTTGCTACCCACCGAATTTCAAATTTCGATCTCGAATGATTCAGAAGTTACAGCTCTAGCCGTTTTTTGTGCACACCTCTGTATATGTTCTGTCGTTTTTGATAAAGTAGGTTTCAATTTCTTACTTTTCTGTAAATCGATCAATGTATCAACAGTAACGTCAATTCTCAAATTTTCTTTTGCATCATCTCCATTCAACTTGACCAGAGTCGCCAAGTATCTACAAATTGCAAGACTCTGTGGTATCTTCTCTCCATCAATTTCCAACAGTGGAAGTTGTCCTAATGGCAGCGCTAGAAAACAAAATTTATTCAATATGTATTCTGTATTAGTTAACAAACTCAGCCTTCACAATGTTTCGTGTCAGAAAACAGAAATAATCTGGTACCGATATCTATAATTATATCCTAGCATATGGATCGAATAGAGATGTTAGAAGACCATGCTTAGGTAGATCAGAAGTCGCGTGCGATTTCTCATATATTTCGATACATTTAGTCCTGTATAAATGACTCTTTATGAGTTGAATCAAGATGAAGTTGAATTATTTCATATATCGAGTCTATCAAACCTTTCATCCTCAATTCCGAAAATATTTGAATTATTCACATTGAAATTTTGAATATCTTTTTTTTTGTACGTGAAGCATTTCCCATTTTTCAAATATATCATTTCTGGAGAACATCTTCCGAATGTATTCCTCTCGGTTATTAATATATAGGGCTGTCAAAAAAACGGAATTTGGTTCTCGATCCAAATCAATTCCATTGATTTTGGTCTTGTTTGAATGGAAATTGAACAAAACAGAACTTGAAATCTATATTCATTCAATTTCAGAATGAAACAAAATGGCAGACAAACATAAACTTGGCCGAGCTTGAAAACCTGCTGGAACTCTTTTGAGTCGCATTGTATATTTCTGATATTGATATGCTGAGAGCGTGGATTTTTTTTTAATAGAACCAGAGGTTGAACTGAGGATCGGTTAGAAATCAACTGACATAATATGTCAGGATTATCTGTTCGAGAAATAACTTAAGAACAAAGATATAATATCTTTATTGTTTCAGATTCGCCCAAAAAACATATCACAAGAAATAGGAGAATGAAAATGCTCCCCATAAGCTTCAATTTCTTCCATTTCTGTGAATCCTGGCCTCAGAAGCATCCCACAGAAAATATTCGCATGGCAGAAAATTGTTGTGATATTCCATTCCAGAATCCAGATCCTCTCATAGTTGGAATTTTGATGAAAAAATGTTTCTTCGAGCGTGCGTAAAGTAGTACTTCTCTGCTTGAATTTGCATGCGCAGAAATATTTTTTCGGCACGTCGCGATATTGGATTGTTTTCCGCACGTCGTGAAATTGGATTGTTTTCTGCACCGGTATGAGACATTTGTATTTGTATGCCCATTTGAACAACTGTCCTAAGGTAAATCAAGCTTCATCTAGCAATATTGTCGCGAAAATACATAGAAAACTCTGTATATCAGTCTCTACCCACTTCATGACCGAGCTATACGCCAGATTGTCAAGTCAGCAAGATGCCCACAGCGTGCGGGGGACCGGGGGAAGCAACGACTCAAGCAACTGCATTTTATGTATTTGTACCAGCAGTTGTACTTAACATCGTGACATTGTTACAACTCACCAATAAACATCTTAATCGAACCTTTTGGCCTATAAATTCGCCCCAAGTCCCCAAGCAGTGTCACAAATTGGTGGAGGCAAGCCGGTCATCTCGTGTAATAAAATAAAATTAAAATTTCTGAACCATAATCTAAATCAAAATCACCGACAAATTCAACGAAACAGTGAAAGTTTAATGTTTACAAGAAGCCGTGCTAGAATTCCGATAATAATACAAGAAGAAGAAGCAAGGAACAAAGATCGAGTTGCAGAGGAAGAAAGAGTAGTAGAAAACATGAACGAGGAAATTATGGAAGCCAACCAGGCGCCTAGAGAAATCTACCCGTCGGTAAGTCCCAAGGTATTTTCGGGAGCAACCGAAGAGAGAGTGGAAGATTTCATCAAAACTTTCAATCGAGCCGCCAGAGCTAATAGGTGGACCAATGAAACGAAACTTATACAGTTGCCATGCTATCTTAGCGGTAGCGGTAGCAGCGCTAGATTTTTTCGAAACCATTGAAGATGGGTGCGAAACTGTAGAGGAAGCGATGCAAAACTTACAAGCGAACTTTCGAAATGAAAAAGTTCAGGAGCAAGGGTACATGAAGCTACTAACAAGGAAGCAGCAGGAGTCGGAGGATGTTTGGCAGTACTATCATGAGATGCTGAAGCTGTGCCACGACGTCAACCACGAAATGGAGGAAGAGGAAAAAGTTGGATTTGTCATTAGAGGCCTGAAGCCATGTCTGATCAGCAAGGTGAACCTCATGGACAACTCCACCTTGGACAACTTTAGGAAGAATTTGCAGCGCATCGAGACAACGGACTACATGGTAGGAGAAGCTTCGACCAGTCATTCAACCGCAAGTAGCGTCCCGACGCCACGCAGAACAGCCAGTATGGAGGATCCTCAACTTCAAGGGCTTCTACAGCGGATTCAACAGCTAGAAGGACAATCCGGTAGGTCGAAAAACAATTATAACCATTACTCTCATAATCGTCAAAATTTTATCAAAAAGGAGCCTCGTACTTCCGACGGAAGAGTAGTTTGCTTCAAATGCGGCAAAATAGGCCATTATGCACGGAATTGCTTTGTAAACGACCAGCCACGTCGCCAATAGGTTCAGGCGACGAGAATTGCTTTAATTTGTCACGATCACTTTGTTTACTTAGCGAAAGTAACAATTTTGCAGAGTTGATTGAAGTTAACGGAGTAATCTTTTCTCAGAATGTTAAATTTATTCTAGATACAGGGTCAGGCATTTCTTTAATTGGTGATTTTGTAATGAATAAGTATAAGAATTTAGTGAAAAAGGCACCAAATATTAGAATAAAATCAGCTAGTGGCAATTTTCTCATAGTATTAGGAGAAATACAAGCTAATTTTGAATTGAATGGGCTTGAATTGAATCATAATTTTATAGTAATTTCAAATTTTGGAAAAAGAATAATTTTGGGTAACGATTTTAATGAAAAATTTCAAGTGGAAATTTATTTTCTTACAAAAACTATCAAATTAGCAGTGAACGAGACTATTTATCAAGTGAAATTTGGAAAAGTTGATTTAAATAACTGTTTTCAAAGAAAAAATGAGGTAACCTGTATCGAAGAAGTTGATCTGCCACCTTTGAGCACTAGTAAAGTTAAAGTTAATGTAGATAGCGATGAGAAAAATCTAAATTTTGAGTCATGTAAAAATATTTTCAAGAACAGAAATTGTCAAGTAACTAAAGTAGATTTCAAGAAATCTGTCATTTTTGTCACGAACCGAGCATTAATAAAGGTAACGATTTATAAGGGGACTTGTTTAGGCAAAGTAAAATTGTCTAATTATTCGTCCGGGACGAATAGAAATGTATTCCCTGACTTCATGCAGAGTCATGAAAGTACAAAAGGTACTAGGGATACGGCCGTTCTAATTCATGAAGCTTCAAAACATACGTTAGACGACATCTGTAACGTAGGTATTATTGTGAATGAACATCTGTCCGAAAACGAACGTAAAAAATTGTGTAACCTAATAAGCGAGTATTCTGATATTTTTGCAACAAGTAATTTAGAATTGGGTAGAACAAATGTTTGTATTCAAAACATAGAGACCATCAATCATCCTCCAATACACCAAACACCGTGTCGAGTTTCATTCAAAGAGCGCGAGATTATCAACAATCAGATCAAGGAAATGCTAGCCGCTAATGTTATCAGAGAGTCCAGCAGTCCGTGGACGTCACCCGTGGTCTAAGTCAAGAAGAAAACAGGCGATTGGAGATTTTGTGTAGATTCCCGTAAATTAAATAATATTATTGTCAATGATAGATACCCATTACCAGTTATTGATGACTTGCTATCAGCATTAGAGGGTTCAAGGGTTTTCTCAACGTTAGATTGTTTTTCCGGTTTTTGGCAAATTAGTTTGGCAGAAGAAGATAAGTTCAAGACGGCGTTTATTGTACCGGAAGGACTATTCGAGTTTAATGTCTTGCCATTTGGGCTGGCTAGTAGTCCAGCGTGTTTTTCAAGGTGTATGGACCAAATTTCGGCAGGTTTAAAGTGGAACACTTGTTTGGTGTAAATGGATGATGTAATTGTCAAAGGAAATGATTTTGATGATCATCTAGTAAATCTACGTAAAGTTTTTGAACGTTTTAGGCAATCAAACATGAAATTGAAATCTACTAAGTGTAAATTCGCTAGTCAAGAAGTCAAGGTGTTAGGTCACGTCGTAAGCAAGGATGGCTTATCCCCAGATCCGGCAAAAATTCGCGCAGTTTCGGAATTTCCGCGGCCGAAAACTGTCAAAGATGTTCAGTCGTTTCTAGGTCTGGCAAATTTCTATAGGAAGTTTGTGAAGTCGTTCGCTGAGATTGCTCGACCTCTCACTTTGCTCACAAGGAAACAGGTAGAGTACGATTGGACGGGTGAACAACAAAGGGCATTCGACACCCTAAAAAGTTGTTTGGTGCAAGCACCTGTTTTGGCTCATTTCAATCCGAATTTGCCTGTTGAACTTCATACTGATGCCTCAGGGTACGGTATCGGGGCAATTGTACTTCAGACTGACAAAGACGGTGCGCATCCAGTAGCGTACGCGTCGCGACGCCTTTCAGAATCCGAGTTAAAATGGAATACGACAGAAAAAGAGTGCGTAGCTGTTGTCTATGGCGTAACTACGTTTAGGCATTATTTATGGGGCAGAAGTTTCAAGGTTGTAGTGGACCATCACGCTTTGTGTTGGCTTCACAAAAATCAAGATGTGTCAGGTAGATTAGCAAGGTGGGCTATTCGATTACAAGACTATAGGTATGAAATTTTTCACAAAAGTGGAAAGAAACATCTAGACGCTGACAGTTTATCACGATACCCAGTTTCAGACCCGAATCAAAATGATGAGAACGCCAAAGAAATTCCTGTGTTAACAATAGTGCACAGCGATATTGCACAACTGCAGAGAGCTGACGTAGAGTTGAACGACATTATTTTAGCGCTTGAATTTCCAACAAATGCTGATTCGAAAATGCTGAAACAATCACGCAGTTACTTATTGCATGATGCAATACTGTATAAAAAACATTTTGACCCGTCAGGTTCTTCCAAATTATTAGTTATTCCAGAAAGTTTAAAAAATGAAATTTTGCTTTGCTGTCATGATGACCCATTATCAGG